GAACGTAATTTCCGGTCATTTAATCATTACAATTCCATCAACAGACATTCAGTTATAGTTGAAATGAAGTATTAAACGACTAAGTTTCAGTACCAATTGAACTTTTTCGCTTCCTCTTCTATTGACATCAATTATTTTTAAGTGGAATTATTGATATGGTTTTTGTTTGCCTACAATTACTTTAGATTTTTATTCCACAGAAATAATTAAACGGTTGTTATTACAAGAGTTCGTATAATTTATTTTGTTAAACGAACGGTGGTACTGGACGCAAACACAGTAGATCAAGTTACTGTCGTTAAACAAAGCACCCAACGAGGAAAAAGAGCGTGAACTTGTCTTTAGGGTAGACTTGCAACGAATAGTATATTCGGCAGTATACCGAATACCGAATATTCGGCGAGGCGCCTGACCGAATAGCCGAATATTAGGCAAAAGTATTCGGCTGGATTTTAGCGCCAAAAACTTGTACAGACGTGAATTAAATTATGTACCTGTTTTATGTACCAATGACTACTTAATAAATTATTATAAAAGAAATGAGAACCTTAGCCTTCTAAATTTTGATTACCACAATAATTCAAATACATAGAATCCTCCATTTTTCCAATTCAGAAGATGATTATGTACCTGTGTTATGCACCAATGACTACTTAAATGATTATAACAGAAATGAAAATATGAATATATACGTAATCAATCGATTTAATTTTTTCATTTTACCAATTATTTCTCAATGACAAAATATATTATTTAAGTATTCGGTATTCGGCCGAATAATATGTAGATATTCGGTATTCGGCCGAATATAATGAAAGCAGCCGAATATGCCGAATACCGAATAGTAACCGAATATTCGTTGCAAGTCTACTTTAGGGACAAAAACCGAGAGTTGAGTGACGTTCCATGAGGCAGTCCATCACTTCTAGAACATTGAACTAACCGATCTTAAGGTGAACTTTGATAGACCTATTTATATGTACCTAAACGCTGTAAGTCCTAGACAGGACCTAAAGCTTTCTCTTCTTGCCCTCGGTATCTAAGACTTATTCAAAGAACTTACAAAATATTTTATGATTTGTTCGTTTATCATTCAAACTATGTAAAAAAGCAAAGGCTAAATGCAATTTCATGTATGTTCACATTTTAATTAAATAGGCGTCTATGACGAGCTCATAGAGGCAACCCCACTCATCGCAAGAAATGCAAATGTGAATTCTTGTTTCGTTTGTAATCAAAAAGATTTTAAAGCACAAGATTTCGGTTTGTAACACGCGAATGAGTCAGATGATAGAAGGATATTCGTTTAGATCGGTCATCGATTACGTCAGCGCTATGAAAAATCTTTTTTGTACAAAGTCAAGTCAACAAAAGACAGTTGAAATAATCTGACATGAAGACACAAAAAACTTACATATATAGATAGATATATATATTGTTTATATTGTTTTCTGATGAATTTGTGAATTTAATACTGATATCGGATTTTCATACTATGTACTTTCTTAACGTTTCAGTTACATCTAAAATAAAGAGCATTATACTAATGCATTTTGAACTCGATCAGAGCAACTTTGTGAAGGCTATCAAAACATACTATTTACAATTTAAATTTAAAAATAATAATACATATATGTGTAATAGACATAGTGCATTTACCACACCTATATGCAACATTCTCCGATGCCTGCAATCGGGCCGTTTATTATCGCTAATTCCTCTTTACGCGTTGGTGTCATATACGTTGACATAAAGCGTAATACTCACTGCCTCAATGGTAAAAAAAGAGTTGTGTTACATACCTGAAACAATATGACAAGGCATTAGATAAGTAAAGTTGGACAAAGAGTTAAAGTGTTGGCCCAGAGCAATGAGTAAAGGGAAAGGTCAAAATAAAGGTCATATCTGAGATGGGTATTCCATTAAATATTCATGGAGTCATGGTATATTCGCATACTGTATGACAAAGAAAATATTTTTAATGCTTGGTGCAATAATACAATGACTTTTTATAGTGAATGCATATCATAAAACTTATAAAAACGAGATTGGAAGGTGACATTGTTTGACCGAGCGGACCCTGTTGCGAATTACATGCATAACCTCTCTTGTTGTTTTGTTCAAAAAATTCGTTTGTTTTTGTAAGTCTTGTATTTCCTTAAAGGCCTATTTTATGCAGTCAGTGATGCAATAGTTAGTTGTTAAACAAACCTCTCTTAATTTGCCATGGCACCGAGGTGCAGTTTGCCGATGATAAGGCTCCTGGCAATAAAGGCTTCTAATATAGTGTGGATAGTGATAAGCGGTCACCACATGAAGTATAGAGGTCATATGTATTAGCCCTACATGCCCATATTAATTGAAAACGGATGATTATACTACTAGCCTCTATCATCTTTGTAAGTTATTTTCCTTCGTTTAAACTAAATTCTGGTGAGTATTTTACTAAATGTTGTTTTGTATTACAATCACCATCATGTCTCTCAAAAGAAATATTCTTCATAAAATAATAATAATTTTTACTTGTACCATATGCATCGCAGTGCAATGCCGCGGGGCGGCCCACGAGTCGGCCACGGTTTATGCTAATATCTGCTGTGCGCTGGCGCAGAGCCTGACCACCCCGCAAGCAACTCGGGCCGCATAATATAAGAACACAGTAACGACTCTATATAATATTATGCAAAATATCAAATTCAAAATACCTCTACCTAGTGAACTTAACGTTACCTCATAATTATTCAAATGTTATGCAATGAATGAATCATTACCTTACTGACATTTATACATCAATCATACACCGAAAAGCAAATATGTTTAGGTACTTTTTTTAAAATCTAAAACCAGAAATATACGTGTGTATATATAACATATATAGTAACTAAATACCTATAACCATATTTTCCACATGCGATCATTAAAGGTACAAATTCCAATATTTTGTATGGTTAGCAAAAAACGACTAATGTACATTAGGTTTACAAGACCGTTAGGTAACAGGTATAATAATGTTAATCGTGAACGCATTCAGCGTCGGTAACTTCGACGTAAGGAGTTACGGCTGCGACGGTTCCAATTATCTGCACTGACGCACACACGCCGCAATATAAACTGCCCTCGGACTAGCTCCTTACTTTATGCCCAAGCAACTTTATAAAGATCCCCCATGATTTTACACGAACGATTTCAAATCCTGTCACAATCATCATAACCTAATCTAAACCCTAGAAACCAGCAGAGAAATCGCACGATTTGCCTATCCGTCTACACAAATAAATGTAATGTAATCCTCTCTGATTGTAATATATGGAGTATAGATCCGTGTAAGCAATGGACAAATTTGCGCGGGGCAGCGCCTTAGTATGACATTCCATTTCTCGCCGGATTGAGCCGTCAGGGGCAACCCGAGATTTACGGCGGCGATATCTAGTGCCCTTCCGCCGTGCTGATAAATAGCCTCTCTAATTATATTTACGCAGCGCCGGTCGACGCGCTATAAATCCTCGCTCTGGTATGTTAGAATAACACTGCTGTATACACCCGATATGAGCCCTATTTGTGGGATCCATCACCGCTGACAAGTATATTAGCTCCAAATTAGTAAACTAGCAATAAAATCGAATTAATTTCACCATTACCTCATACATCACTTAGTCGAGGTTATTTCACGGTGCGGAACACATGTATAGTAGATATAAATAGACGGCATTCCTGAGCAGGATGCGCGCAAAGTTGTCGCCCGATACCGTAGGTCCCTCAGGATAGAAATACACCGGAAGTGTACAATTAAAGACAAGCGAGATGTGTATGATGACGAGTCAGTGAACTCGACTCAAGGTTATGGAAGGGAGTGTAAACAGAATCTGGTCGAACCGCATCCATCAAGCGTGCAAACAATGTAACCGAGACGCGTCAATATTAGTTGGAGACCACCACACACACGCTGAATGAGAATATCGCATTTACGGCTGATAGCAAACAACGATAAGATGTGCTTATTTGAGTGACATATAAAAAATAATTATATTGTTGAAACATGTAAACATTTTTAGTCACATAACATTTCGATTTTCTGTAATTCATAATCTTAGGTAATGCCGAAATTAATGAAACGAAACAAAATTGGAAATAACATATAACTTGTAAGAATCCCTGATAAAATCTAGACCTGGAAAACAAAGTTACATCACCACATCGCATAACTGACTGATGCCATATCAAAAAAGTTCGAGTGAAGGTATCGAGCTCAGTGGGACATCTATCTAGACTAGCATCAACACATAAACACCCACGTGTTCTGCAAAGTTCGGTCATTATTTTTCATGCAAACATGTTTTAAAAACAAACGAGAATGTTTAATTCACACAGAATTCCAACGATAGAAAAACTAATAACTGAGACACGTCTTATAAAATTAAATTATACCACCCCCTCGGTGCACAAATATTTGAAATTGTTTTTGCTAAAAATATTGTCAACCATAGAAAAGCCAATACCGTCGCAGATATCACATTTCAGGAGCACTCTAGGCATGGCATAATAAGCTATTTTGCGATTCGATCTCCGTGTGAACGTGAATATTAACGTACAATATTAACGCTAAAAGCATTTGATGCGTTTGAAACTCGTAAATCCAGGAGATAAGGATGAGCTACGAGCAGCGCATCATAATCCGTCAACGTTTAGTACATAGCAGCTCTTCAGCCAGTGTGGTTCTTAGTTGAATCGTATTTAAGTGTATCGAGATCTGAAGTACTTATTACCGCCCATATCTAGATGCCGAAGGTCGGCTAGACTTTCGCTGCGTAGTCACACTCTGTGGATACATTATAATGAGTGGCCCAACCCGAGAAAATCTAGTCGCCCACACGCCTTCTTAGTTAATACACGGTGCAGACACCGAGCGCGGCACTGATCGCATTACCATACAGACAGTCTAAAAGTCAATACAGGAGCCGTGTTGACATTGGCCCACTGTTACTGTTGATTTTGTAACGATATCAAAAGCCCGCATTCCAGCAAGCATGTTGTTGAATGAGCAGGCTCAATTGTTCTCGACGGCGGGTGATCGCCCACGTGCGACGAGGTGTCGCGCTGATTGCACAACCAACGGACGCCAAGCGCCCGCCCGTAGACCCACTACAGGTGACCGTTTGCCCGTCGGCCTTGCAAAATGAAGGACACGACCGCCAACTCTCGTATATACGTGGAGCGTGACGACCGAGCTTACTGACGAGCACCACATCGACTGCCCACAAATAAATGCATATACCACAGGACAAGTAGGACACTTGTTGAATGGAAGTGGGGGAATAAAAAAGCATTTTACTATTGATAGTGGTATATGTAAAGTACGACAGCGACACCACGGACGTGCCAGTGGCTGGCCTCGCTCGCGTGCCGTACACAAAGATCGGGTTTCGTTCCGCAAACTCGAGATAACTGCTGCACGCTGCCGAGACTCGTTGCATTCTAGGAGACGACTTTGAAACTAAGTTCTAGCCTTATTATGTCCTCTTTTAGCTACGGTCGTCTTATTTGAATAAGAAATGCAAGATTACGCTTACAGTAAAATAATTAACCGAGGGTCTTGCGTGTTTTATGAGTTAGTCATGTAACCGGCGCAGTGGGAACATCTAACGGGTCGGCTAAAAACAGCATTCTAATATCGACACTCGATCTAAAATAGCCGCGTGACAAACGAAACCGAAAGTGATGCGTGATGCAACGGGCCCGAAATTAGCTGGTGCGGCCCAGAGCGGTGCATCGGCCGCGAGAGAACGCTGAGGCCGGCGCCGCGGGTGCCAAACGGCTGGCATTTCGCACTAATGACACGAATAAGATATTAGCACGGATAGCTTGCCAGTCGGCGCCGGAATCCAATTCAGGTATTCGGGCCGCTTGTAGAATCAAAATTAACCCCAGACCGATCGTACGCGATACGTTAATGTTAAAGAGATAGCAAATGACGGAATCAGGACTGGTTCTCAGTAGGCAACGCTCGTATGCTAGAGAACCGTTATAGACACAAGTTATTCAATAACCTACCGTATAATGGGTTTGAGCGCGAAGCAACGTTGTCATGCAAATGGTGTTGGTCTACCTTCGTGTAGTTACATGCATGTGTACGCCTATGTACAGGGAGGACTATCGCGTGGGTATAGCGACGGTGGTGACACGGCGGGCGCGGGTCGGAGGTCCGGCCGCATTCCGCCGTCGCATGAAAGTGAAACCGCTTCGATAACCAACCGCTCAGCTGTAGAAAGTCCACGATTACATCTCGCCAGCGCCGGCGTCGGCGGACGAACAAAAACTGCTATCGCGGCAAGTCGCCGAGCTCCCGGGAAGCGAGGCGCCCCGGGCGACATCGCGCAGAGAAATTGCCTATAACTGCTAGCGGGCGCTAAACGATTCCTTTCATTTACTCAAACGGCAAACTCCAACCGACCAAGGCTTGTTGAAATGTTAAATTTCACTTAAACTAGCCGTAACCAATTGACCGGAGGCTATTTCCAACGGTTGACTTTTTGTAGTATACAAAATAAATCACCTTAATAACGATCTAATCGTAGAAATTATCAAACGTTACTTTTATATACCGTGATTCGTATGAAAATATTAGAAAGAACTTGCATGTCTGGTTTTTGAATGACGCTAGCCTTTTACTTGAAACCGGTTTATTTTTCCAGCTTGGTACAATTAGCACGACAACTTGTAATTACCCCATTAATGTTGCGTCAAATCATGTTCTGAACAGTCAAAACTGTCAAGTCAACAGCGTGCTCAGCTTACCTAGAGACCTTATCTCAAGAGCGTGATTTTGCAAAAATAAAATTGCATAAAATGATCTACATAGTCAGGCGACGAAAAGCTTTGTAACAAATTCTACAGAGAATGATTCATTCATTCATAAAACATGAGATCGTTGCACACGCGGTGCGGTAGCAGATTCAATTTATTAAATGATTGTTAGTATTATCTAACTCAAGAAATTAATATTCAATCTTTTGCAACATCTTTAAGTTTATGGTGTAATGTAGACAAAGGATGCATTTCAAACGTCATGATCCAATTCTGGTGATCGTCTTTAATTTCTCGTCGTTTTTATTTTTTTGTAAATATGTTTGTTTAGAGAATACTTAAGAAACAATATTATTATTTTTCTTATAATTGTCAATTTGATCAATTTTAGTAAGAGAACTTTTAAAAGCACCAGTTCGAAAAATAACAATTGCATAATCCTCAACATTAATTAGATAATGCTAAAGCCGTCCAAAATTATACAGAACATTGATTGATTGAAATAAATTAAAATATAAGTATTATAATGTAAGATTGTAATATGTAGGCCTTAAAGCTGTAAGAAACTTGAATGGTGTGTATGTTAGCTAGCGTCTAACTGGTTTAAGTCAAGCCAAGTTTGTTGCTACTGATATCCATTTGCGGGCGCATGTGATGCCGACTCCTTTATTGGAAGCTCCCTCAGTAGTCGGTCAGTATACAACGGAAACCTACCGGATTGTACTGTGCATACTAAACGATGACTTCTTAATGTTAATTATGATCAATTCTACGTAGTTACGTGTTTTGATACGAACTAATAGGAAATAATGATACTAAATACAATTGCAGTGAATTGTTATCAGTTGGTAAATTACGAGACGTAATTGGAACAAAATGATTAGGTCACAGAGCTATCAAGATCGAAATTAACACGGATAGATATTCCTTTTGTAAGTAGTAACGGGTATTATCCTGGATCCATCTGTGACCACGACCATTGCAACCTGGTTAAAACGTCAGGCAATTCAGGGCTATTCATTCCCATTTATTAGTAATAATAATATACATGAGGATTTTTTTAGACGTTTTACGCATGGATGGCGCTCTTTGGAGGACATCAATGGGTTAAAGTAAGTAAGTACGCATCACAACTAAAATAGATAAAAGAGTATATATAGAAACATAAGATTACCCTTTTATTGAATACCAATATTTTTTAAATATCAAATCAAATGACTTCTGTTATTTTAATATCTTTTTGTTGACAGGATCGCTTCAAAAGTAAATTGGATATTAGGGTCATATGTCAATCATGGGGACTCGATAAATGAAAAATCACTATTAGAAGAATAAACAACAAGAACAGAACCATCATATTCCCTGAACAAAAACTAAACAAATGATACTAAGATTAATTAAATGAAAAAAGTAAAAACACGCATCGTGTTTATATCTAATATTTATCTGCTAAATGGAACGTTCTAGATGTTGGAGAAAACTTAGTTGCAACATTTCATTACGTCCACATAGGTAGCTCAGATAACCTTCTGAACGTAAACGTCATTTATAAATGAAGTGGAGGCGTACATCGTACTATCTAAGCTGAATAAGATAGAAAATACAGTCTATAAAAAAAAAATAAGCAACTTATTTTACTTTATAAATATCGTTGGACTCTCGCATAGCATTAGGGAACTATTGGTGAGCATCTTAGATATACCTATTGCCAACAAGGCAAAGCCTCTCGGAAGTGCGAACTACACAATAGAACAGGAGAAGTATGGGACAGTCCTCCCTTCTGTCTTCCTGAGTATACACGGACACCACTACGGATGCCTGTATATGGCATGTTATTTGTATATGGTAATAGCCCAAAAATCAACTACTGGTCATGTTTACACACTTTTTTTTAATATAAAATGTAAATGAGGTGTGAGGTACACATCTCACACACGGCTGTCTGATCCCAAACTAGGCAGAGCCTGTACTATGGTAACCAGACTGCTGATAAACATACTTATATATTTCTAAATACATCACATATTATAGAAAAATTACATCCTGACACATAACAAACGATCGTGCTCATCACACAAATATTTGTCATGGGTGGGAATCGAACCCACGACCTTCGGTTTAGCAGTCAGGGTCACTAATCACTAGACCAACAGCTCCGTCAAACATTAATTTTGCTGCTTAAACTGCCTCACAGCGGATGAATAAAAGTCTACAACCTCTGTCATGCGAAGATCATTAAGTCATTGAATCATTAAATAGGTGCCCGCATGTATCATGGCAGATCCGTGTTACGTTACACATGTGCCAGGCTCGACCATAGTGATACCACGGTCTCACATAAAAACGGTGTTAGGCAGTTCTTTCGTTGTTTTTTATGAACTAAGGTTACCTGAGCCCAAACCGTCCCCCTACCCCTGATTCTAGGGGCGGGCATGATGCTTCTGAAAGAGCTGTAATGAATTTGTATCACTTACTATCAGATGACCTGTCTACTTGTAGGCCCCCCTAAACCACAAAAATTAATGAAATTTGTTGATATTAATGAGAATGTTCGTGTGGTGACGGATGTCCGTGTGGTGACGGATTAAGAACACAGAGTGTCACCACCCTTATTCATCCCGTGGGTGTCGTAAGAGGCGACTAAGAGCGGAATACGCAGGACAATAGCACTACAGAGAGAAGGAAAAGTTGACACAAACCTTATACCAACCCGTCTGGTCAGCGTGATATAGTAGGCCAAAAACTCCTTTCTAAGGAGAGGCCTATGTCCAGCAGTCGACTGTTAAGGGCTGTTGATGTGATGTGATGTGAATGGGATACGTGGACACTTACGGTATTGCTGGTCCACAAGTTCAAAGTCGCTCAGCGTGCTATGGAAAGAGCGTTTCTTTAAGGGATCGCATCAGCAATGAGGTGATCCGGTAGAAAACCAAGGTCATCGATATAGCCCACCGGATCAGCAAGATGAAGTGGCAGTGGGCGGACCATATCAGACGCAGAACGGACAACCGTTGAGGTAAACGAGTTCTTGAGTTCAGACCACGTCTCGGCAAACTCGTGTAGGACGCCCACAGGCCAGGTGGAGTAACGATTTGTGTAGGATGGCTGGCAGGAGCTGGATGCGAGAAGCCGAAAATCGATCGAAGTGGCGTGTAACAGGAGAGGCCTATGTAAAGCAGTCGACTGTTTAAGGCTGTTGATGTGATGTGATGTGAATGGGATACGTGGACACTTACGGTATTGCAATAGGCTGATGATGATTATTAATGGAATCAAGTCTGAAGTAAAACGTGTCTCCATCTGGATTTTTGCGTGATATCCTCTGAATGTAGTGCATACAAGGTCATGGTTCAGTTTATTTGCCTTTAGCTATACATTCGCTAATCAGAAAGTAGGTCGAGATATCCTGAACACGAATACTGTAATTAAATGGCGTCATATCATCTGACTTAGTAAACTTTGATCAACTACTGCAGAGGTTCGGATAGAATCGTTTATAGAAAGGGGGCTTGGACTGGCTTCACTATTGAAGGTAATTGAAATGACGTCATAAGAATCTTATGACACAGACTGGATGAGTTTCTGTGTAGTTGTGTCTATTCATAATTAAAATGGATACTTAATTTATTTGAGCGAAGACATGACGCAGGCTGTGTAAAAATGTGTTTTTAAATGCTTTTCTAGTGTCTTTGTAAAAATATAAATGAAAATTGAAGTTACGTAAGCATACTTAAACGAGGGTATGCCGTCTCTAATGTTCCATATACATTCAATAGATACATTTACACATACATCACTATGTTTTTACTAATACTTTTAACACTGTTGCTATAAGCTTTTGAACATAAATAGAAATATTTTGGGAATATGGTTAAGATGATGATGAAATTTCAAAAGAAATTCAGAAATGTTGTCACAGGTGACCTGAGCCCTAGAGTTCTGATGCGGCTCTTAAAGAATCTAGATTAACTATGTGCATACGTACGTAAGTCTAATGGACGCATTAAAACCGTGTTCTTCATACAAAGATACGTGTAGGTTGTCAGTACATTTTAACACAACAAATATCACGTTTAGTGTACGACTCTGACGTCACATACTTACATTACACATGCCAGACGAACTTGATAATGATATTCTAATATTTGTATGAAATTTTTTTGATAACTTTTTGTATCTCGTATTCAATCAGTCAATAATTATTATTGAAAACTGTGCCGACAGGGCAATGATAAACACTTTTGCTCAATTTATTTCTTTTAGTCAATTAGCACTCATCATCATCACCATTTCGTAACACTAATTTGCTTCTATAACTAACTCGTCTGATACTTATCTGAGGTAAATAAGTCAAACTGTCAGGCCTCAGATAATGTTAAATTTAGCACAAAAATAGTGTTATTAAGACAATGCATATTTAAATTTACCACAAAAAGCCTCATTTTTAACCGATGTCAGTGGCTCTTTATACAATAGTAACGACGTGGTATGCGTTTAAAATAAGTATCTTGTCGTCGTTCCCACTGACTAAATTATTAGTTAGTAAATATTTATTTACAGATAGCCGTTATCTGCCTCTAACGCTGACC